TGACAGCTTCTAGGAGCCAAAGGTGAGAGTTGAGTGCAGGATGGAGATCAAAAGCAGACAAACCAGCCCAGAAGAAGCATGATGTGTCCCCCACCAGAGGTAGTACCCCTCCCCTAATGCCCTACGCACCCCTCATAAAGCTAATGCATGTCAAAAACATGTTTACAGTGGTACCTTGGTTTAAGAGCAGCTTTGCCTTGGAAGCAGAACATGTTTCGCTTCCTGTTGAGTGTGTTACATTTGTAAATTGCGTCCCCCGCTGCTATGGGAAAGCAGGCCTTGGTTTAAGAACGCTTTGGTTTAAGAATGGACTTCTGGAACAGATTAAGTTCATAAACCAAGGTACCACTGTAGTTCAATTCAGGCAACTGATCTTGAGTTGTCTGTAGAGGAACTACTCTTTCCTCCATCAAATGTGACTTGCTTTTAAGGACTCTAAATCTGTGTGCAGTGGGGGAAAGGGCTTGCACAGTGTCAGGAGAACTGACAAGCTGAAAAGGAAATTAAACGAATCAGGCTTTCTAAAGGAAACACAATCCAATTAAAGGCTTCTCTTTCAAAGTACCGAGTAGGATTTGAAAAGTAGATTTCTGAAAGTGTTAGCTGTCAGTCTGGCAAAATCTGATGCTCATCTGATGACCATTGGCTACTCTTACACACCAAGTCACCTACAGGCTGATTATCCAATAGACTGTTTTTCTCCTTAAATACACATCTATAGACACAAACCCTGAGAAAATCGTAGATGGGGGCAAATTACTGAAAAGGAAAGTGTTAACCACCCCTCTCCCTGCCTCCCCCAAGCTGTGCTGTTCAAACTAGCAGCTTCTCAAGGCTGTATTTAGTTTCAGAAAAGAATTACAGGGTTGCATCTCTGTAGTTTGCCACTAAGGAAACAAAAGAAGAAAAGCTGTAAGATCTTTACTTGGGAAGGGAAGGCATTTTTGCCAGATGGGGTTTCAGGTGCTGTTTAAAGTAGGTTAGGGTGTGATGGAGCTAGTGATGGAGAAATCTGTCAACTTCAGTTCCTCCCAGGCTCTAATTTGTTCAATCTTTAATTCAGTAATCAACATCTGTGTATGATTTTTTTTTAAAGTACTTATGAAAATTCACCAGCAATTCAGTGTCAATTTATCATGCACATTTTCTGTGCAATTTTGCCCAACATATGCATTCTGTAAAGCGGTATCCCCTAATAGAATGCCCTGCAATATATATGCATTTCTATGCAAGCTTCAGTCTAGTATACACATTTTCCCCTACACATTACTTGGCTGGAGAACTGCATTGCAAAATCTGGATATTTGCAGATTCTGAGGAATGGCTGTGTCTTTTCAAAAAGCGCAAATTAGATATATTTGCCTTTAAACGCAAACTGAGTCTAATTTCTCTCTCATCCCTAGATGGAGCATATTCTAGAGAGGAGAAAGAAAGAGATATTCCAATTCAACAAAACTAGTGACTTCCCACTCGCCCAACTTCAATGTTTATAACCCAGAGTACAAGACTTCCGGCGAGGCAGCATGGCGGCTGCAACAGCAGAAAAGAGCTCCTGAAGCCAGCCAGAGTAAAAGGCTCTGTCTGGCCGACTCCTGGGCTCCCAGGACTGCTGCCGCCAGCACCGCCAGCGGAGAG